GATACGCCATCATGTATTTCACGGAGAACATCTGGTACTCTCGTTCTCGGGACAATTATCTGAAGATGGAACTCTCTGCCGTTAGTCTTCTCCCATTTCCGGTAGAGTATTCCGTTTTGAAGTATCAGACTGTCCCATTGCGCCCAGTACGCCTTAGTGACAGCGCCAGTGGGTGCAACCTCACTCCAGTTTGGTTTTACATCGCCCCGCTTCTTCCATGTGAAGATGTGCCGAAGGTCGTTGTCACTTTCTTGAGCCTCCCTCATAGCATTATTCTCCCAGAGACCCAAAGGACTTGTCCTCGTTAGCTTTAATGTAACTTCATTAGATTCCTGCTTAACACAATGTTTGCAGTCTTCCGAACACGGCCTTTGTGACAGTGCGTCGGCTTTCCCATGCATCTTTCGGCTGCGGTGTTCCGTCTTGAAGTCATCGAGGGGCTCAGGGGCAGTTGGTCGGTGAGTCACAGTGGGCGGGGCTTGGTACCCAGTGGGTATGGCCTCCGCAGCTCGTGCCCTTGTCCTGACACCCTCCTTGAAGTCCTCTCTCGGAGTCAATGGCTCCAAATCCCACTTCTGACACCAGTTGTTACGTGTTAGGGGTTCGAAGGATTTGGAGAGAAAGACCTGCTGACTCTTTTGAAGACTTTATTCAAGCACTAGGTCCAACACAAAGCACTAGGTCCAAACACTAAGCACTAACGATGTCCTATTTTGTAGCCAAGTCGTAGGTTTCACTGGTATCGCTCTTGATCACTAGATTTCGCTCTGAAATAGCCTCGAAGGTAGCGCAAACTGAACTGTGTCGTCTCGCCTCTTTGCGGCTTTTTATATGGGCCGAGATGAGCCCCAGACTATTCCAGAAAGTTCCTTCCTGGAACGTACCCGACATGCGCGAACATGATCGTGATTCTGGAAAGTTCGCGAATGTACCCGGTTTTCGAGACTATAGTTCCACAGCAGTTCCTCTAACGCCATCTAGTATTGAATAGGGGGTTTTATGTCGTCTTTGTTCTTTAGTGGTTTTACTAGTTGACGCTAGATGGCGTTAGTTCCTTTGTGTGTTCATAACAATATCTTCAATATAGAAGTTACACTTACATATTGTCAAAAGCACTACTACTGTTAACATTATCTATCTTGGTATTTTTTGTTATAGCGGCACCAGAAGTTCATCGTTTGTGAAAATTTCAACTGTCTAACTATCACGATTCATGAGATATAGCCTGGTGACATATGGACAGACATTTTACCCTTTGGCATTTTAGCCGTTTTACCCTTTGGGTACGGAACCCTACTAAGTCCCAGAAATAATGCAATGGATTAAAACAGGTAGCTCTAACCATCAACCTAAATGCATACAATTGCATGCTTGTCACAGTTTTGTTATGAACAGTACCTTGCTGAGGAATAGTCAAATATTAACCGTCTTCTCCTATTACGACTATTAAGGGATATTTTTATGGATCATACAATCGGTGTAACTCAGAGACCCTTTTAAGTTGGCCGTGTCTACCGTGCAACACTATATCTCTGTGGCCTTTTTAGGATGCCGTACCCAAAGGGTATAACGGGACCCTATTACTAAGACTCCGCTGTCCGTTTGTCCCTTTGTCTGTATCTCATGAACCATGATAGTTACACAGTTGAAATTTGATCTGGGTATTTGTTTCCCAAGGAGGGTTGACCTCAGGCAGGCGGCTGGTTGTAAAAATATTAGCCAAAACCGCTTAAAACATGATTCACGTTGTGCCGATCCCACCTAGGTGGAATAGGGGCAGGAGGATGATGATAACTTGTATACTTGTCCCCCTATTTTAAAAGTTCACGCTAAACGAAATCATTTGAAAGAGGCTATTGCACTTTCGGATGTTGGTTAAAAATGTCCAGATGGTGAATGATTATTCGTCAAAAGATTTTTTATTGGCTGTGGCGGCTCCTCAATATTGGGGAGACTACCTTTTCTAGAAGCACAGCACATACCATTTGGTTCATCGACCCATTTGTGGCAGAACACTTAGAGCAGATCTTATTCGTGGCTACGATTTGGACGGAAGACTGTTGAGCAAAATGCATGAAAGCTGATCTGTTACTGTGAGCTAAAACTCGATTACGAACTCTAGTCGTTGACGTTTATTATCTTTCTCTCTAACCTCGTGTACTTTGGGAACGCTCAGACCTCGATTTCCTAGTGTGAATTTGTATATTTATATTATTATACTCTTCAAGCCACTGCAAACACTCTACTTGACTCTCCGACTTGTAAGACGATTTTCAGTTTCCGGTAAAGATTCCTGAGAACTATTTCTAGAAAGATGAGATCTTGATCTTTTGGGCATTTTAAAATGATAAAAAAATTAAACTTCCTTAGTATTAAATAATTTGCTAACTGTTGAACAGGAATTACCAGTATAAATGTGATTGAAAAATTATAAGAACTACTAAGTCAGTTACTAAGTTGTTTGGATAGTTAAATTAAAATATACTAACATTTTTAAACATGCAATATCTAAGGAATGGAATGTCCGAATTTAATAATTCAAGAGTTTTAAAAAGGTATTGAAACAGTTTTAAATGTGATGTAATTTATTTTTATAAGGATTAATACCAAGATACAAATAAACAGCCTTTGTTAGCGGCGGCATTTCAATCAAAAGTTTAAAATAAAAGAACACTTATTGTGGCATAACTATAATAGTTAAACATATGCTGTCGCGACACTTTTTGTAAATAATGATGTGTTCTACAAATTCGTTGTACTTTATTTTATTCTATCATCAATAGTTTTCGCAGCGCACGCGATGTAAAGAATATTCTAGGTAATTTTTGTACACCTTGAGTAACATTATTGGAGTTTTAATAAGGATCCCTATTTTTTTTTAATATAATATAGCCTATTGCAAGCAGGGATAATGTAGCTTCTCAACAGTCAAAGAATTTTTCAAATCGGTTTAGTAGTTTCGGAGCCTATTCAATACATACAAACAATCAAATCTTTCCTCTTTATATAATAGATAGAAGAAGATAGAAGATGTTTAATTTTAATATGGATTTATCACATTCTGTAGTCACACTAGGCGCAATGTGTATTTAAAATTTGTAGTTAAAGTACGAAAAATATTAGAATATTAAAAGTTTTATAGAATAACTGGTTATAAAAAGATGGCTCAGTAGAGCATTTGCTGCGTATAGGATTCTGCATCGGGGGTCATGGGTACGATTCCCACAAGTTTATTCCCACGCGAGCCAAAATTTTTAGGTACTCACACATAAGAATTCCCACGCGTCGCCATCGCGAAATTTTTAGGTACTCACACATAAAGAATTCCGTTTAAAAACTTTTAAGTTAAACGGTTTTATTTTCTGCATATTTCCAAGGAGGGTCGGCGTCAGGCAGGCGGTCTTAAAAAACCTAGCCAATATCACTTACAATATGATATGATTGACATTTTGTGCCGTCAGCGCCTTTATCAATGCAATAGATACAAAAAAGATTGTTATATTTTGTCTGTTTATCTCTGCATGTGTAAGCGCTAATCTTATAACGGCTTAACCGATTTCCGGTTTTGACTAACGTATTGTGGTAAGCTTCTTTTAATATTACTTTATTTCACTTTTCTATTAAGGCCGGTAAGGCCACGCAACGGCCTACACTATTGCCCGAAACGGCAGGTCCGTCCGAAAAAGTACCACGTACTCACAGAAGGCCAGCGTGGAAGTGTTATACTACTGCGTTTCGTCTAGTAAGCGAGGTAAACGGCCCATTTTATTAAAACATGGTAATGCATCTGCAACCCTACGGGTGTTGCAAATATCCATGGGCGGCGGTTATCAGTTAACATCAGGTGAGAAGCCAGCTCGCTTGCCACCTTCCATAAATAAAAAAGTTATATCAATTTAAAGAATTACATCGAATATTTTTTGGATAAAAATGCTATAAGGCCGAGACGTGGAGCTCGTAGCCCGGAGGATGACGGTTTTAATCCTCTGTACGTTTTTCTCTACGTTCATTTTTCTACAAACTTTAAAGGTATAATCATTGTGTATAGATATGTATTATTCATTGTCATGAAAAAGAATGACCCTGTTACGAGTAAAGTGATTAACACACACCTAATCAGGCGAAGGTGCTCCAGTATCCTGATCTAATCTGCAATGTATTCTAAAACTCTTCATATGTAATTCGCCTGTTATCTTGAATTAAATTTTTCACAGCCAGGACATTTTCTTCGGTAACAGCCGTCGAATAATGACCACATCTTTATTCATCCCGCAAAGTTATATAGATATATATAGATGCTATTTAAAGTCGATCAAACTATTCGTCCGGTTTTAGGCCACATTTGAAATCGTAAAAAATCAACGCAAGAAAATGTCAAATGCCCAATGCAGATCCATTTTTACTTGAGACACGATATTTCAATTGGGCTCTCAAAAAATGAGATTACACAGTTCTTAGTACCTATATTTGTCAGCGTGTACCTACAGTAATTTGGCTTCCGCTGAAAGCGCGAAAGATGACACACGGTTACATCAGCCGACAATAAATGAAATGAAATTATTAATCTGAGGCAGGAATATTTGTCTCCTATAAGGCTTATTTCACTCAAACAAAATATGATCACACTGATTCGGAACATTCGGGGGAATCCGCTTTTCTCATCATAAATATGAATTAATTTGGGAATTGGGATACGTCCAGAACGCAGTCAGAAACTCGTTATAATGTCAAGGTCTCACATTAAACACGGTAAGGTTGGTTGCCGTTTTTATACCAAATACGTTTTGTGAATGATCTTCTAACAAGTATACTGACCACAAGTACATATTTATTATATATACACATTTTCCTTGTCATTTTCCTAGTGAGCGCATCTTAAGAATGTCAAGATAAGATGTTTATGTTATGACCGACCATAAGAGTATATAAAGACAGATTATCGATAAATTGAATTACTTGCTATTCGATATTGTTTAAAATAAAGTGAAGAGTAAGGGAAAATGGCATACGAGGGAAAACTTTACAAACATGTTCGTGACGAGAACATCGAAGTGTTCGTCAAAAGTTTAAGTAAGTATAAGAATTATAATTTACAGCGTTATTTTAATAACTTGAGAGTGTTTTCCAAATAATCTGTCTATTTTTTATTTGATCTTCCACTTCTCTTTTAACACAATATGTTCAAGATTTGTTAAAAATGGTTGTTATTCAGCATAAATTAAATATAGCGACTGCAAAAAAAATATTACTTACAAATTATTTAGAAATTAAAAGATACCAATGACGGCAACCATCAACTAGGCAATCAAATGAAAAGGTTAAAAAAATTTAAAAAGAAGTAATTATAAAATAGGAAGAGAAAGAATAAATAAGAAGTGACAAAATTAACCATATATAAACGTGACTAAATTAATGCATACATTAATAATTTTATGCATGCTATGGCATAGTTAAGTAATTATATAGTTATTATATAATAGTCAGATATTTATTTGATCAATGATGATCCGAAAAATATATAATTCCGAATGAAAAAGGTAGGTGCGGCTAGTTTAGAGCTCCCTAAAAATTTAATCTTTGGGTTGTACTCAACTGCGATGTCGCCATGGTGACAGGAAAGAAAAAAATTAGTACATGATAAGATAGCTATCCTACTTTAGCCATAAGGAATTACAGCTACAAGATTAAACGAATTTTTTTAAGACCACCATATTTAACGTGGGCAATATGTTTTATTGTCACATTGACTCATCACTGCATAGTAAATTACTTATTAACACTGCATAAATATATAATATATGATAATATGATAAGGTTCTTTTACTAGATAGAGTGATTCAAGAGGAAGGTTTATATGTATAATTGCATTGCACCCATGCGTAGCCAGGGTGGGTCGCTAGTTTTTGAATAAAAGTGAATTATTATTCTAGTGCTTTAAAGATTGATTTTATACTTATGGATAAAAGATTTTATCTGATTAATAACAATTATAGTTCAGTATAATAAATCCGTTTTAAATATTTACGTGTGTATACCAAAGTAAGCGTTATTTTTATAATTACGAAGAAAACGCTGGCGTCTCGTCTGAAGGTACTCTGTCAAAGTTGGCTTTGATAAACCGGTAATGATTACCAGATGCCACTATTGTGAATATGTTGACTTATCGAGTAATAGCTTCGATAAGCACTAATTATATTTAAAATCACGCTGAAATTACCGAGATGAGAGTATTTTTCTTCAAGCTATGAGAGTTATTTTAAGAACAACTTTTTCAACGCGTTGAAAGTTTAAAAAAGTCTTAAACAATGACAGACAAAAATTATATTTTCAGTGGCATTTTTAAATTAAATTAAAATGACACTATTATAATTAGATAATAACTATTTACTCGATATCTGTAATATTTAATTTCTGTAATCATTATAAAATTGTACAGGTCACTTTATCTTAAAATAACTATTTACTTTAATTAAGCCTTTAATATCTTTCTTATTCAGTTACAAATGTAAACTCGCGAAGAGTAATTTTTTAGAATGTAACTTGACAAATACTGATTTAATTTCATAAAAGCAGGCAACAGTTTTTTTTTAAACCGTCACAGATTATTCCGTCCTTGACACATATTTCTGGAACGACGGAGTTTAATCATTTTCCGTTCATAGGGATACGAACCATAAGTGTTTTTAGTTGGCTTTACGCCTAAATGTATTATCCACTTCATTGACAAACATATCTAAATAATGTTTTTCGGAATAAAAATCACCTAGGTCGAGGAACAAAATGTATTTTGTTTGTTAAGGTAGCAATTTATTCTGCAGATCTCCCAGAGGAGCATACCATTGGTTTCCTGAATAACAAACCTGACCAGAAGCTTGAAAAGAATGGTGACTCTTACACCCTCACCACCATAAGCGCCAACAACACTAAGGAACTCACCTTCAAGGATGGTGTGGAATTTGATGAAACTATAGTTCCAGGCCTAGTAGTAAGTGCAATGTTCGATCTTTCTTTTGTATACCTTAATACAATGCCGGTTTGACTGCTTTTGTTGCTTTTTATTATTTCTCGTCAATTTTAAAACTTTGTTTATCATTGATAACAATAATAAAAATGAGTGCGTGTAACCTTTACACGCAAGTTAAGAAAACTAAATAAAATCCTTAAAATAATTAATAATAATTTAATTTACCATTAATGTATTAATTAATAGTAAATTATTAATAGTTGTTTATTTTTAATGAAGAGTTCAGATACATACATATTTACATATAGCGTAAATATTTAAAATCAGATGCTATAGAAACGCGTCATCGCCGTAAAGCATTTCCGTTGCATTGTCGTCGTCCAAAGCATTCAGTTACCCCTTAGACGCACAGAAATTTCACTTTAACATAGGACCTTGAGGGTGAAATGTAACTAAAAATTGCACTTTTTAGCCAAAGACAACATTCACCTTAAACGGTAACACTCTGACACAAGTTCAAAAATTCGATGACGGGAATGTTATTATAACGAAGAGGGAGTATTCCGGTGACGGACTGACCGTGGTAAATATTATTTCATATACTTAAAATAGGGTTACCAGCTGTGTAAACATATTTTGTACAAATTACTTAGTAATACAATACTATATGCAAGTTAAAAGCTGCTCCGACTTTTTTTTTTGGATATAGGTACATTTTTTAAATCAACTTTAAAAATACTCAGTCGTACAGAGCTTTTCTAGGTTTCTTTCTAAATTTTAAAATAGTGATAAAACTATATCGTGAATCTCTCTCTATGTTGATGATGAAGTTTAAACAAGTAAAGTAAGTAGATATACAAAAATACGATTTTAGCAATAAAAAAATATAAAAATGTTTTTTTTTCTATCCAGACATTTCTGAGGAACAACGTGGATGGCCCAACAGGAATTAGACACTACAAAGCCTAATTTATTGATATTCATAAATAAACGTTTTTATTATAATGTCGGGGGAAGCTATATGTCGGGATGTTTGCGTGTATAATGCATAATATAATATAAACTTTTAAAAATCTTAATTTAATTTTATTTGATTTGTTACATTTTTACATTACCTTAAAACTTTAGTAATGAAATAAAAGTTACGGATATTGTAAACTACGTAACGACCAATCACAGCAGAGCACATGCCTCGAGTGGGGTTGAGGCGCCATCTTGACTTACGGGAGAAATAGGTTTTGGGAGACAGTAGACACATTGAGTGACAGCGACAGATCGAGTTGGATCGTTGAGTCTATTCGTTAGTTAAAGTAAGATTCGTGCCCTGAACCCGCTGCTCGGTTTTAACTGTAACTTTTTCTTTCGACATTGTTGTGAAGTGACAAAACATTGTTTGAATATCTATAATCTGAATACAAATAATCTGAATTAAAATAATACGACACTGTGATCATTGTGTTTTGTGCTCGCATTTTACCCTGATGACGCCCACTAAGAACGCAACTACTAACGGTGATATCAACAGAACAATGTTTCTCCGACATATATTTTGTTCTTTATTCAGTACTATATATATAAGCATATGAAAATGGCAATTAATTTCTTTATCAAATTGATTAAATTTTCCAAGCTGAAACTTAATGTTTAAATACTTTATAACACACACACACACACACAACACAAGTCATGTGTCTGCGGTAACATGGTCATGTAACTGCGGTATTTGACACCCGAATATTATTGTTGAATACCGATAAAAGTTTCAGTTTCGGCGGTGATTTCGGCTTCAGCTACGATTAGAAAGCTTCCTCATAGGTTGTTAGAGATTTTTAAATTACCTTTAACTTGTAAGTTGTGTATTTCTGGAGCTCGACGTGTATTCGACGTGTGGGGCTCTACACGCCGGGTCTTTCACTGCTGCCTCACTCAAATCGCAATTCGAAGGCCTCCTTTCTACAGAGAGTATCAGGGCATAGTCCACTAGTCGCCCCACTACACTCACTATGAGTAAACAAATAATAATAATAAGGGGAGTCGCTTCGGCATGTTATTTCCGGTTGTTCCATGCTTTCTAACTCTGAGTATCTGCATAGACACAACCTAGTAGCCAGAATCCTACACCAGGAGCTCGCTCTGAAATACGGCCTCGTGGATCGGAAACTGCCGTACTATAAGTACTCTCCGGAGGCCGTGCTCGAAAATGACCGCGCCAGGCTCTATTGGGACCGGCCCATCGTGGACAGGACGATTGTCGCCAACAAACCTGACATCGTGGTGATGGACCGGGCACAATCGCGGGTATTTTTGGTCGACATTACGATTCCATATGACGAGAACCTCGTGAAAGCCGAAACAGATAAGAAGACAAAGTATCCAGATACAGGTCCAGACCTGGCTCACGAGGTGACCGACATGTGGGGTGGTGTGCCGACCGAAATTATCCCGATAGTCGTGTCTGCGAATGGGTTAATTCCAGTCAGCCTCTCCAAACATCTGAGGCGACCGGGACTCCGGGACGGATCGCTCCAAGCTCAAATGCAGAAGGCGGTGCTCCTTGATACCGCCCGCATCGTCCAATGGTTTCTCTCCCTATCGCCCTAACCCTCGGCCGTTTGGTCTCCCCTGCCGAGGGCTTCCGTCTGGTTGGGTCCTATTTATATATGTATTATATACAACATTTATATGTATATGTTTATTTTTATCCATAATATTTATTTTATATATGCAATATGTATCTATATTTTTATTTTTATTTATAAACCCAACCAGACGAGAAAACAAATGAATATCCCCCCCATAATAATAATAATAAAATATCTTTATTCACATAGACGCTTGCGCGTTTTTATGAAACGTCAAAATTCAAAGAAATTAACACGTTCGTAAGTTACCACCGGTTCGGAAAGCAGTTTCTGTTGAGAAGAAACCGGCAAGAAACTGAACAGTTGCTCTTTTTTAAAAAACAGTTGACAATATAATAGTACATGTACAATAGTCTTGTTTTAGCCTACGTGAGTATCAACAGTATTTACCCCGCACATTGGCGTCGTCAAGATATTTGGCAATAGTATAATAGGCTTTAGCCATAAGTTTACTTTTAATTTTTCGTTTAAATTCATCAAGTGGCAGACTTAATATCGACTGTGGGATTTTATTATACATGCGCACACTTTGCCCCATAAGCGACTGTTTACTTTTTGTAGACGAAACAATGGCGTAGTTAGTTTGTCCTTATTTCTAGTATTTAGTTTATGTCTGTCACTATTCTTTAGATAATTATTAATATTATGTTTAACATACAAAATATTACAATAAATATATTGAGACGTAACAGTGAGTATATTAATCTCTTTAAAAAGATCTCTGAGTGTATTCCGGGCTCCGATGTTATAAATTGCTCGGACAGCTCTTTTTTGAAGAATAAATATTGAATTTATATCAGATGCACTACCACAACAAAATGCCGTACGACAAGATGCTGTGAAAATAACTGAAGTAAACAAGTCTGGCAGTATCGATGTCTGATAGCTGCCTAACCTTCCTAATTGCAAAAACAGCGGAGCCTAACCTATTCGCAAGAGATGATAGATGGGGACTCCATTGGAGCTTTGAATCTACTGTGATTCCCAAGAATACAGCGGACTCAACAGGATTAAGGGTTACGCTATTCAATTTTAAGCTAAAACTTTGCCTTCTTACGCTGGGAAGCTTTTGAAGGAGGGTTTTGTGATCCACGCAGTCGAAAGCTTTTGAAAGGTCGCAAAAAACATCTATTACATCTTGCGACCCTTCCCAGGCGTTATAAATATGTTTGACAAGTGCGATACCCGCATCTGTTGTCGATCTGCCTTTAGTGAATCCATATTGCTCATTATGAAAAATCTTGTTCATATTAAAATGTACTAAGAGCTGATTTAAAATTAGTTTTTCAAAAATTTTACTCAGAGATGGCAATATGGAGATAGGTCTGTAGTTTCCTGGATCATTTTTATCCCCACTTTTGAAGACGGGGATTATCTTACTAAATTTCATAAGATCTGGAAATATTCCAGAATCTAAATTTTTCTGGAAATATTGTTAAAAATATTAGCTAAATGTGGTGCAATATATGGCATTATTGTGGTCATTAATTTTATGGACATGCCCCATAGATCCATTGCATTTTTAAGATTAATAGAATTCAAAACTTTTATAATATCATAAGTATCTACGTCATTAAATTTATATGTGTGTGGACAATAGGTAACATTATTTCTTAAAACGTTAATTGCATCTATGGGAGATGATTTTAATGTACAGGTGACATTAACTGCAATTTCTGAAAAATAGCTTTCGACACTACTTGCAATTTCATTATCTGATGTTATAGGAGTATTACCTATAACCAGTTTTATAAGTTCCCTGAATATCTTGGGTCTACCAGATATACGGGTAATGATGTCCCATGTGGCTTCAATTTTATTGTTTGAACTTATTATTCTGTTTCTTATATGAATAGATTTTGCCTGAATACAGACTTTTTTAAATATTTTTGAGAATATTTGTACCCTTTTATGAAAGTTGGGGTCATGACTCCACTGCCTCATATTATATAATTCAAACAGTGAATCCCTACTTTTATATATACCCACTTTTGCCCAGTCACTAAATTTTAATTTTGAATTTTTAACAAATGTGCGCAATTTAAATGTCATGTCAATCATTATAAGAAGATATGAGAAAGTCAATATACATTGATTTATAAGAATCATTAGGGTTATTGAATCTATAAGAATTCTAACGTTTTTACCTATTATTTTAACTATAACTGAACTTGAATATTATCAATTATTATAACAACCAGCAGAACTATTGGTTATAACACTGTCCGGGACCGCAGCCGAAATCCAAGTGACCACCGCTCCATGCCACCATGTGTCCCTTAGCTCGAGTAGATAACGTCATATCCGGTAAACAGTGTTGTTAGCGCTAAAATTCGGCCGTCCTGCATCACGCCTTCGTCCTCGAAGGGCGTTGTAGTCTGGTACAAGTAACCTTCATAAAATTAACACCTTACCCTGTGTCTTATCTCCCTCAACTGGGATGAATATCGCCACGTTCAGAAAACCTTACACTGTGGCTTATCCCTCAACTGGGATGCATATCGCCACGTTCAAAACACTTATCCTGTGGCTTATCCCTCACAACTGGAATGCATATCGCCACGTTCAAAACACTTATCCTGTAGGTTATCCCTCACAACTAGGATGCATATCGCCACGTTCAAAACACTTACGCTGTGGCTTATCCCTCAAAACTGAAATGCATATCGCCACGTTCAAGCCTTAAATTTTCCAACTACTAAATGCTCGGTAGCTTAACCGGGTAAACCAGTTGTGTATCGCTATTTAACATTTTCTCAAATATGTTTAAGTAATTAATTAACTGGAAGGTACTCACCAAAACTTTCGTTACATTTAACTAAAAGATTTTATCACCATTACGTATAGTAGCTATAAAACAAACTGTTTTATTTTACGACAGTAGGTACCCAAGGAGAAAATATCGCCGATTGTTTGAATAGCCAAACGCGAGTTTTCGTATTGTATCCCACTTCTGATATAAGAATACTAACGTTTTTACCTTCATCCTATTATTTTAACTATAACTGAACTTGAATATTATCAATTATTATAACAACCAGCAGAACTATTGGTTATAACACTGTCCGGGACCGCAGCCGAAATCCAAGTGACCACCGCTCCATGCCACCATGTGTTCCTTAGCTCGAGTAGATAACGTCATATCCGGTAAACAGTGTTGTTAGCGCCAACATATCTTTATTTAATATATGATGTGCCACTTTGTCTTTAAAAGAATTTATTCTATTAGTAGTGACTGGTCTACTCTTGATCTTATGTTTGCTTGTATTAACTTTTTCATTTATTGAAAATTTTAGACCAAAGTGGTCAGAGCTCAGATCATTT